ACACTTTGCAGGATACAATAGACAGGACAAAACTGAGGATACAGAGGGTCGAAGTGTATGTAGCATCTTGCAGTCAAGGATCGTAGTGGTTGCCTCAATCGACATATATCAGGTGAGTAATATTAAGTGAGCATAAAGTGGTGTAGAGGGCATTCAAAAATCCACACCATTTTGACAAGTTGCCAGAGAAAGGGAAAATCATGGCCTCAACGGATGGCTTCTTACCTTAGCACGACACGTTCAGACCGAGGTACGGTACCGAGGCACTATGTATCAAATCAGTTTCTGATTTATCGGTGGCAAGGTGCGCTTGCACATGAAGTCGAAATCCAACATTCCTGACATCAGTTTGAATCGTCTGCAAACTTTCAAATTTAACATCAAAAGGAGTTGCCTTGTACTGCGCGGTTCTGCATGCCGTAGACAATGGAAGTAGTGTCCGGCCTTTACTCAGACTGATTGAAGTCCGAAGTCAGGTTCCACGATTTCAGAACTGAGATCACGGCGTTGCTGTAACCAAAGTGTGCTTGGTTCCTAGCATCAGTACTCAGTACCGCATGGTCAAGCTTCGTACTTACCAGTTGTATCCAGTTGTCAGTTGTCCAAGATTATTTCATGAGAAAAGGCACTCATCCCGGAAACAAAATAACTGTGATGTCTTTCACTCCATTGCTTAACTTTTGTGGGTCACTGGGGACGGTCTGCATGAAAAAACTGCAACACCTTCTCGTTGGCTGGAGGTTCCCAAGGTCCCGCCATGCATTCGCCCCCCCAAAAAAACATCAAAGGAAAGTGGTTACACATGACTTAAAGTTCGTTGCTGGCCTGCAGGTGCTGGCGGGTGACCCTTTCCCACTGGCCTCGGGACAAGTGAACCGTTGTGGGCATTTGAATACGATACAAATATAGAACAACAAAGAAATTATGATAGTTCGAGCTTCTGACTTCTTGCCCTTCAAGTCAATCATTTTGCGAACCTCTGACAAACCAAAATCAAAACATGTTCACTCCATCTTGCTCCATCTAAAAGATCTACCAAAACAATTAACATATATCATATAATATACATATATATATATATAATCTCTACAGAAAGAGAGTCTTCCCTCAGCTCTTGGCAGGTGGTCCGGCAGGAGCGGAAAGGTCTGGTTCGGGAAGGGGCTCTTGGAGGCCCAAAGCCATCGGGATGATAGCGGTGATGTGGGTCTCAGGACCATACACCTTCGCCAAGTTCAGAAGATTGAACATGTACAATTTGTTTGTGATAGAGGCCCATACAAAAGCAATCTGACAATTGGTTAGAGCCGGATTCGGAAACTAATCGGTCGGATTCTGAAACTGGGGTTCTGAAACTAGGATTCTGAAACTGGGATTCTGAAACTAGGATTCTGAAACTGGGATTCTGAAGCTTGTATTCTGAAACTGGAAAGTCAGATTCTGCAACTGGTCTTCTGAAACTGGAAAGTCA